ACTCCCCTTGTGTGTATGTACAGCTCTCAACATGCCCAGACTTGGAGTGATTTTCACCTCTTTTAATACTTTCCGCCTCATTCTGAAAGAAAGAAGTGAAATGTGCCAACGTGACGGCCGTCTTGGTGTGTGGTGCGAGACGGGAGATGTAGTTCATTGAGCGGTTTCACACAAAAAAAGTGTTACTTCACAGTTTTACGACCCATCTTTATTTTTTTGACTTGCGCACCAACGGAGAGAGAATAACTTATGGCAACACAAAAGAAAACATGGGAGCGGTGGAGATGAGGAGGTGTCGGCGTTCTGGCGATTTACTCGGAAGGCTTCAGTAGAAGCTGCTGGGAGTCCCAGCAGCTTCTACTGAAGCCAGTCCCCAACTCCGGGGACTTCCGGCCGGGGACTTCGGGTGGCAGTATACGCCGTGAAGTGGTTTGCGGCCTGCCAGTAAACCCAAAGCAGAAGAAGAAGAAGTGACGTCAGCGGCTTCATTTGCCTAATCCTCCCTCAGGGAACTTATTCCGGTGTGAACGCGATCGGCTCTTTAGTTCCATGGGGGAACTAAGTGCTGGGAACTAAGGGTGTTTCTCAATCGCGAGTACGCTTGCTTGGTAGCACATGTCTGCCGAGCATCTTGCTTCAGAAGCGAGGCAAGAATCCTTCCTGGCATTCGGAAAACGAAGTGTGGAACAGGCTAGCAAGTGTGCAGGTGTGCGTCATATGAGAGGCCCCGCCTTACATCTTCCGCCACAGATTTGGGGAAATTGGTCCGTGCGCAAAGCATTGTGGGGATTTTAAGACCGCGGAGTCTACTCATGTGCAGCCTCGATATTTCTCCAAACGGAGTACGCCGGGCTCGGTAGATTTCCAAGTATGCTGGAGATTGGAACAGTACTTCGGCGGCACTCGATGACGTAGTATACTTTAAATAGTGGCTCTGGAGCAGCTTTACTCGCGATTGAGAAACACCCTAAGTATTTGGTGTGAAAGCGGCTCTTGTACCCTTTTGATTAGACACAAATTTGCATTTTTACTTTACCCATTAAGGTTTCATTTAACTTATGAGATATTGTCTGCGTCTAAGAAATGTTAATATTTAGCTAAAATCGATCTTCTTTGTCCTTTACTTCATTTACTCTTTTACAGGTTGTGTAATTGTTAACAAATAACCATTAAACAAAGCATAGTGCTGAAATGACGAATGCTAGCTGGTATTTATTCCTTTACAAATGTGCTTTTGCTGCTCAAACTCAACTTTTATCTAATGCATGAAAGCTTCTGCGTATTCTATTTTAAACATGCATTGTTGGCTCGTCTTTTTCATGAAATGATAATGTCCTACATTTCTGGCAGCAGCAGGCTTTTTCATGTTGAATAAATGGAGGTATTATTAGAAAAAAAGCCAGATAAATAAGCAACAATATCCACCTTGGCTGAAAAGACAGTAAAAAGAGCTTTAATATCTTTAATGGTTAACTTCATAGAGACAGACTACAACACAACATATCATAGAGGACTTCTGTCTAATCTTTCTTTTTTTAAAGGTTTAAAATAGAAGGTTATTGTAAGAAACAAACTGAAATGTCAACAGACTGAATTCTTCCATATCTTATCAGAAAAACTAAACATATTCTTAAGACTGTACACAGATGCATCCTTATGATTTAACCCTGCGTGTACTTCTTTGTATTACTGTATAACTTGCTTTATGGCGTCTGTTGAACCCATATATGATTTTCTGCTTCCCATCCTCCAACATCTTTTGTGTTTAACTTCATAAACACAGAAAAAAAAAGAAAAGACAACATTTCATAGATAACTTCTGAGAAAAGCTTTCTGTTAAAAGGTTAAAAATAGGCCCAATCCCAAACCACGCCCTACACCCTAACCCCTACACACTCCCCCTCCGTGACGCAGTGACACACGAGGCTCCCTCCTGTCAGATGGAGGGAGTAAATACAGCGGCAAGCTTTGGGACAAACTCCCCTCTCTCCGGCAGAAACAGGAAATGCCGTAACTGTATGTAACAATGGTTTCAAATCAGCATCTCTGGGACAAAACATTAAAATGAATAACTAAAATAAAACTCCAAACATCTTTATTTTTTGTAAAGCTCTTTTAGTTTTAAACCTGATGTTTATAAGCTTCTTAGTTTTTGCAACAGTCTGTAAATATACACAACTTTATAATAAAATGCACACATTTACCTTTTTCTAGACTAAACACAGGTATGATCCTAAGTTAAAAAAATATGAGGTTATCATGAGGTTGTTAACATCGCAGTTTATCAGTGGATGTTTGCTGGAACTGTTTGTTAACAGCCTGTTTCCTGACGGACACACACAGCGTGACTCCGGTCAGGTAGAGACCGGTCTCAAGTCAGCACCGATGCAGACTCGCTGTTTGAGGGCTTGATAACCCACTCCCCCTCCACACCGCTCCACACTCGTTGGTTTGGAACAGCACTTAATGTGGCGGACCCTCCGCGGGAACGGAGGGGTAGTGTGTAGGGGTAGGGTGTAGGGCGTGGTTTGGGATTGGGCCATAGTGTGTTGTCGTTAGGAAGACACATTTATATCCTGCATTTTCGCTTCTTCTGGCATCTCTTATTTTGTTGATCCAACATACTGAAACAATATAACCTCTCAAGCTTTATCCTGATCTGCACAGAAAACTCCCTCCCTGGGGGGAACACAGGGATTTTAGCCTTTGAAGACCATTTACATGCACTAAAACCTATAGAACACACTACAGGAAAGGGAAAAAGCACAATCGGGCCTCTTGGTGTGTTATTGTATCAGTACTGTCAGACCAAATGAAATCAATGTATATGGACACAATTGTGCTGTATCTTATAAACAAACATCTCAAACTCCAGACCCCATGCTTTAACGCTGTGTTTACTTTATTTTATTGCTGTATAATTTGCATAATGTCGCATTGTGGCTTTCCCTTCCTCCAACAGCTTTTATGTTCAGAGTGTCTTAAAAAGTATTAAAAGTTGATAAATCAATTTAGCAAAAATTAAGGCTATTAAAAAGTATTAAACTGCATTTTCCAAGGTATTACATTTTGTAGCTTGTTTTCAATAAGTATATAAATTGTCCAAAGAGGTATTCTACAGTCTGCCTGAATGTAATCATTGCGTAGGTGTGTAGTGTGATTCTGTGTAGTTTATTTATGGCATCCCGTTGGATTTGACGTCATCTGAACAGGACATCACATGCTCACTGCTTGATAGCGCGCGATGGTCCGTTTACGCCGGTTGTTAAACAACATCGTTATGGGGAAATGCAAGTTTGCGTACAAATGGTTGGAAGATAAGGAGGAAGGACAATCAATACTGTATATAGTCAATGTGAGGTAAAGTGTGTCGCCAAGGTAACCGGTTAGAACTCAAAGTGGCGATGAGGTCTTAAAATGTATGGAAAGGGTCTTAAAAAAGGTCTTAAAAGGTCTTACATTTGACTTCAGGATTCCTGCATATACCCTGATGTTTAACTTTATAAACGTAGAATAAAAGGAAAAACAACAAATGACAGTAAAAAACACAACAAAATTACAAAACAAAGAGACCCATTTAAAACCTGCATTTAACCTCTTATATCGTCTTTTCTTATTGTACCAATCAAACATAATGAAATCAATGATAATTCGACTAAATTGTGAGGTATCTTATAAGAACATATAATACCCCTTTATGTACAAAGTGGTTTCACATCAAAACAGAACCCATTAGGAAAAACACAGAATCAAATGAAGTAAAAAACTAAGAAATAAACAACATGTCAACTCAGGACTCAGCACAGATACATCTCTGTGCTTTAACGCTGTGTATACTTTATTTTAATGCTGTATCATTTTGTGGCTTTCCCTTCCTCCAACAGCTTTTATGTTTAACTTTATAACCGTAGAATAAAAGGAAAAACAACGAATGACAGTAAAAAAAACACAACAAAATAAATTCTGTTAAAGGTTTTCTGTTAAAAGCCTTGAAACACATTCAAATCACATTTAACCTCTTGGATCGTCTTTTCTTTTTGTACCGATCAAAACATAATGAAATCAATGATAATAGACTAAATAGTGAGCTATCTTGTAAGAATAACTGATACACTTTATTTTAGGGATCGATATCGGCCGATATTCACTCTCTGCCGATCGATCGGTGCTCTCTATAAATGCCGATCGTGAGAGCCGATCACATGACGTAAAATACATGACACTTTTCTCTGTGCGCGGCAAAACAAGCTCGCCAACATGGCTTCACCGGTCTGGCAGTATTTTAAGGTGTCCGAAAAAGACAGTAAAATAGCGGTATGCAACGTGTGTGAAGCAGAAATCCTGCAGCTCCACCCGCTGTGACGGACCGGTGAGCGGAGCAACACACACTAAGAGTTAGACCTAACACACTTAGCTATTTTATCTACCTCTGGAACAAGCTAAACTAGTTATACATATATTTATTATTCACTGTCGGGTCACTCATTACTGGATCAGTGAGCTGCATGAGACGATACTGACAGGCTGTCAGGAGAGAGAGAGAGGGGGAGAGAGCGCTTCCGCTAATTTCTCCCGTGTTATTATCCAAAGTTAATGTAAACTTGAATAATGTACTTCATTTGAATGTAATAGTTATGTTGGTTGTTGTTTGTGGAAGCGCCAGTGAATGAGCATTAACTGAGTTTTAAACATCACTTTAAATGGAAGATCCCCATAGGCCCCTCCCACTCGATCGGATCGGCGATCGGTATCGGCCGATACTGATTCCGGCGATCGGCCCCAAAACTGGCGATCTGAGCATCCCTAATTATTTATATAGTGGTTTCACATCAAAACAGAACCCATTTAAAAAAACACTCGATGAAATAAACAAAAAAAACTCGATGTCAACTCAGGACTGTCCACACATACATCTCTGTGCTTTAACGCTGTCACTGTCTCATCGCTGTATAATCTGCTTTATGGCCTCCGTGTAACCCAGATATGATTCCTCCCCTCAGGCTGGAGGCTGAGAGCTTCAGGGATAGAGACATGTGAGAGGATCTCCACCCTCTCAACTCTCAACCTTCGGGTAAATCACATCCTCTCCTCCTCTTCCTCTCATCTTCCTGTTTCCCTCTCCTCCTTCATATCTCAACTTGCTTTTAAACTGAGTTGCTAAAGATGTAACAAGAGCGAAAATTGGAAATACTGTAATCAAAAGACAGCAATAACACTGGTATTTAACACATCTCAAATTAGCACCAGAACACTAATTTGTGTTAAAGGAGAGGTGTCATGGCCATTTCCACTGATCATAATTCCATTATTGAGGTCTACTAAAATAGATTTATATTGTGCAATTTTTCCAAACTCACATTGGTTTCTCAAACAGCATCTCTGTAAACTACTTGTATTCACTGAATTTCACTCTCTGCCTTTAACGGCTCGTTGTAGCTCCAATAGCTCCAGCCCCCACCCTCCCTGTGAGCACAGTGTGCTCTGATTGGTCGGGACGTTGTGAATCGCGCTGAGCTCCGTGGAGGTGTTGTTTCCTTGTTTAGGATACATAGCGAAACACAGCCAAACTCATCCTGAGCACACACAAACTCACAGCCGAAGTAAAAACAATAAGTGTGGCTTGATATTGAGTAAGAAAAAGGTTGATAAACGCTGTGAGAATGGGTCTGCAGAGAGAATGGGTCTGCAGAGAGAATTTCGCCGCGATCCCAACTGTCTGTTATCAGCCTGCAGCCAGGGAGGAGAAATCAGCTGAGCTGCCTGCTCCCTGCACACAGATGTGTGTGTGAGGAAGTCCGTGGATTGGTCAATTTGGACCAATCAGCGGGGGCTTAACGTAACGGCTCCGCCGACGTAACGTAACGGCTCCACGGATTGGTCCATTTCGTTCCAGGTACCGCATGACATCATGCCGTACCCGGAAGAATGAAATGGACAATGACGTATCTCCAACGAGGCGTTTTGGGGAGGTATTTTCTGTGTTAGAGTTTTACTCGCTACAGGGTGTACTTTGAGGGTTTGTGACTCTGCACACCGTTTGCATGCATAAAAACCTTCATAACACACAAGGGGACGGGTAATAACCGGAAAAGCATGACACCCCTCCTTTAAGTGGGTTTTCCTTATATCTTGCTTTGTGGCTTTTTTTTGTTGCTATTTTCATTGAAATGCAAGGCAAGTTTATTTATATAGCACATTTCAACACAAGGCAATTCAAAGTGCTTTACAAAAATGAAAGACATTTATGGCGCATTTCCACTACACGGCCTCGCTCGGTATGGCTAGGCCTCGTTAGGACTGGCTCACTTTATGGCGCATTTCCATTACAGTTTAGGAACTGGGGCAGTATCTATAGTAACGCAGTGTAGGCGGAGCCGTGACGTCATCTTCAATGAGAACCCCAGAAAAACAACACAGCCGTTAGCTGTTAGCACTCAGAGCTCACAGCTCCTCATATCTGTTCAGAAACTAGACAAAAGTTAAACAAGTACAAACCACAGACTGCCTGTGTCATGGTGAATACAGTCGCTGGTTTATTTATGTCTGTATAGGCCGTTGTTGTGAGTGTGGACGGTCGGAGCGTATACTGCGTTAGCTTAGCCAATCTCCATTTAGAAAACACGTATTTTAAAAGGTTTTTCGCCTGCCGTCTGTCTGCAGACTTGACAAAGCATTCATTCATGGTTTTTACTAACCGGTATCAGTATGTTGTTACTTCGGCATCATTTTGAAACGTGTATTACAATTAAATCACGGTCAAATATGTCCATCTTGTTGTAGTTGTAGCCCCCTTGCCAGCGATCCTCTCTCTAGTTTAGCATACTCAGCCCGACTCAGCCTCGTTGTCTCTGGCCCTAGAACCACGATTTTATGAGGCCAGAAAAACTGTGAATTAGGACCCGCCGGCCGGTACTAGGCCAAGTGGAAACGCAACCAAAGACGGGCCGCTGACGTCACAGCTCTCTTAAACCGTGCTCCGCGCTGTAGTGGAGACGCACCATAAGAGCATTAAGAAACATATTATGAAATGGCATTTAAAAACACTCATTTAAAAGCAAAGGAACATGAATTAAAGTTGCAGTGTGAGATACACACATCTGAAATGTTTAGCTCTGACTCTCAATCATCGCTCACTTTTTAGCAGAAATAGTTTTCTATGAACTCACTTTCTTTTTACTTTCTTGTTTAACTTGTCCTTTAGTTATTTCAAGTGTTTCATGCCAAACGAACCCCCCCTTTGGAAAATTCTAATCTGACCCCATGGTACCTTTTAGTTTTCGCCGAAACAATTCCTCTTTTTTATTTTTTTATGCACATAGTTAAAGGGGACCTATCATGCAAAATGCACTTTGTCTTTTATACATAAACATGTGTCCCCGGTGTGTCAGGGAACTCACGCAGCGTCAGAAAATAAAACCCTCTCTCTTTTCCTCCGTACCCACATCTCTAAAAACGGGGGAACAACGGAGCTGATCTAGATTTGCGTCCGATATGACGTAATATCTGAAATGTAGGCTGGCTTTACACCCACGGCCCTATCAGAAACGTTGCTATCAGAAACAATGCCCGACTGTTTTGGACGTAATATGGTTGGTGCATGTTTACACTAGCATCGCTAACACTCAGAGCTAACCTGTACTGGAGAGCATGTGTGTGAAGAAGCAGGAAATAAAAAGGAACTCACCTTGTGGTATAACCGGCAAGAGAGAAAGCCTTTGAGCTCCATACTGTTTCAGAAGTAATCCTTGATAATCCATGATATGGCGTTTCATCACCGCAGTATTTAGTTTAGACAGTAGCTGCCGGGTCCCGCATGAGCTCAGCCCCCCCCTTTTACTTTTTATCAACCCCAAATCAGCACTTTTGAAACAGGAAGTGAAATAGAGGGATATGAGGCATGGCTAGAATGGGTGATCTGTTTGGTATTTTGAGCAAAACACTTCATAGACATGTTTTTTATATATTTTTGTTATATCTGAGACCTATGCTATTGCCTACAAATAGCATGATAGGTGACCTTTAAGTTAACCTTGTCTTTCTAGGACATGCAGAAGAATTTAGTTTGTCATAAAAACAGAAAAAGGACAGTAACTACAGTAACTCACAGAGCTGTTTGATAATGTAAATGTATATTTGTGTGAATTAGCTACATGTTGCCCTTATAGCTAACACAGTTACAACCTACTTTATTTTCTTGCCGCCTAATTGTGTTGTTTTTCTTTCTGCAGCAGAATTCACTTGCACCGACCGTTGCGACCGCGACCTGAAACCCTCCTGCCTCGGGCATGCCTCAGGTAAAGTGTGAAGACGACTGAAAACTCACCCGTCACCTCTGAATGACTCCTCTGGGCCTTTTCCTTTCTTGTTGCACAATTTAGAAACACACAAACATAACAGATAATGAATACAGTGCAGGAAGAGGGAGAAAACCCACAGGGCGTACTCTAAAAAAAGGTTAAAATCCACAAAGTTATAGAGAACAGAAGATTAATTTACAGATATTAATATATAATGGCAAACTATTAGAACACCATATAATAAAAACAACAATGAAACGACAACTAAATGTAAAATAAAAGTGTATTTATGTTTTTGTGTGGGGGGAATAATGGTTAATACACCTAAGAAAAGTCATGTTTTATGCCATATTTATTAAACAAATAAGGAGATGCAACACGGACACATAGATATTAAATACATAGAGAAAAGGAGTAAAAAAACACACCAAATAAATGGTCTTTCATTGAAGTTGTACCTCTAAATGTGATAAAAAATGTATATACAAAAAGGATTATAACAACAATAAGTAATACTAACACATAGCGAAGAAAACATCAATAATGATAATAAGAAAAACTAATACATAAACCTTTTTTTTTCCAACTCTCCGTGTATCTTCCCTGCAGCCGGGCATGAATGGGATGGAGCCTGCGTTCGGCGAGGCGTACGGGGGTCACCGGGGTCTGCTGAGCCCCCACCCTCTGGCCATGTCACCACAGGGGGGCCGCACCGAGTACGACCAGGTGAGACACCATCAGAACCAGAATCAGAATCACCTTTATTCGTCCCACAGAGGGGACATTTACATTTGTTACAGCAGAAAAGTTCACAAGTTACACGGGCATCGAATATCTTTAAAATACTTCTGTTTTCATTCTGAGTTTGCAGCTGTCCATGTAGATAATCTCACTGATGATACTGACTTTAAAGGTCCCATGTCATGGCCATTTCTACTGATCATAATTCCATTGTTGAGGTCTACTAGAATAGATTTACATTGTTCAATGTTCCAAACTAACAGTGGTTTCTCATACAGCATCTCTGTATAGTATGTGTATTCACTCTCTGTCCTAAACGGCTTGTTGGAGCTCCTGCCCCCCCCCTCCCTGTGAGCCCACTGTGCTCTGATTGGTCAGCTCGCCCACTCTGTTCTGATGAGTCTACCACCGTTACAGCGGAACATCAGTGATTATGTGTTACAATGGCGTTTGTTAGCAACCAGAAAATGACACCAGTAATGACAAACAGATGAGAATGCTGCGTGGGGTCTGAGTGCCGTGTTGGCGGGACGTTGCGAGGCTCGCTGCTGCGAGGACCAGACAGTGTGAGCTGGCTTACTGGTGCTGCGTGGGGTCGGCGACACAGCGAAACCCAGCCCGAAACCAGCCTGAGCACACACACACACCCGCAGCCTGGCTGTGAGCACACACACAGACTCACAGCCTCGCCGCGTCCCGCCGTCTCAGGCTGAGAAATCGGCAGAGCTGCAGCTGAGAAAAGATTGAGTGTGTGTGTGTGAGGAATGGACCAATCCGCGGACGTAACGTAACGGCTCCGCGGACGTAACGTAACGGCTCCGCGGACGTAACGTAACGGCTCCGCGGATTGGTCCATTTGGGCATTGGTCACGTCACCATACCCAGGAAGAAGAAAATGGAAAATTAAAAATCCCCAACGAGGCGTTCTGGGGCAGCATAGACAGGTCTTTTCTGTGTTAGAGTTTTACTCGCTACAGGGTGTACTTGGATGGTTTTGACTCTGCAGACCATTTACATGCAGAACAAGCTACATAACACACAAGGGGACAGGTAATAACCGGAAAAGCATGACATGGGACCTTTAAATCAGACTTTTAATTAAACCTTTTTACAAGCATTCCTGTGGGGACAATTTTCTTGAAGATTATTATTGTATAGAACCATCTCCTCCGTTCACATGTGGCCCTAATCCTCTTCCGTACTTCCAAATACACGATATGAAAAAGAGAGTTAGGAAGCTTTCTAATGGACCAACCTACTAACAGTATATTCACTTATTTAGAAACCACATCGCATTTAGCTGAATCTTTTGTCCAAAGCGACGTACATTAAGTGCAATAGACCATGAGGATGCTGCTGCATAAGTTACACTTTTTTTTTTTTTGTCCAAGGTAAAAGCAAAACAGAAGACAGGGGTTTTTCTCGATAGTATAGTATTGTATGAGGGCGCTAACGTCACTAGCCTATTCGCCCTATTTATTCGGAGCGCCCTAAAAACAAAGCTGTCTCTGCCGTCGGACGCTCTATTTGACATGATTTTCATATTTCTGGAGTAATTATACAGTTTTTGACGAACAGAAATATTGTTTTCTGGCATCACTTAAACATTTAACGGGGAAAATCGGCATTTTGGTATGAGAGCGTTCCCTTTACCCGTTTTAGACAAACGTTTGTAGTCTTTCTGCTCTCCTGATATTAGTGGGAAGCTCGTTCGACCATTTTGGAGATTACACATTGTTTTGTTTTTTCACATATCAGTGATGTTTAAGCTCGTCTCTGTTTCTCTTTCAGAGCATTCTCCTCATGCTGGGCTCCCCGGCGTCTCCTAGAAAACGTCCCTTTGAGCTGCTCAGCGACCTGGTGGACGACGGAGGCTTCGGAGAAGATCTCCTGCTCCCCGAGCGCTGGGACGTCTCCGCGCTGGACGAGATGGCCCGATACACCCGACTGGGCCTCGGGGTGGGGGGGGAGCTGCTGGCCTGCTCCGAGGAGGCGGTGCTGATGAACCGCTGGGAAGAGGAGGAAGAGGAGGAGGAAGAGGAGGAGGAGGAAGCTGTACAGGCAGGGAGGGAGGAACTTACTCCTGTTTCCACAACCGAGAGGGATTTAAGTGTTGCTGGGAAAGATGGAGGAGTTTCTAAGGAGGTGTATCAGGTGGCGCAGGAGGAAGAGGAGGCGGCGGCGGCTGGTTTGGCGTTGGAGCATTGCAGCGAAGAGCATAATTACTCTCTGAGCAAGGGGGAGGAGATGGGGGCGGGGCCTAATATCCCCCAATCAGAAAGGGAGGAGGTGCAGGAGGAGGAGGAGGAGGAGGGACAGGAGAAGACTGAGATACATCTGGAGGAGGAGGACGAAGAGGAGGAGGAAGAAGAGGAAGATGAGGAGGAAGAGGAGGAGACGGCGGTGGAAGCTGAGCTCTCCAGCTCCTCAGAAACTGAATGTGGTGAGTAGAGCTGCGAAATGAATTGAAATGTTGTCAACATTACAAAAGAGTGGGGCAGGAAAGATTCCTAAAACACGGAAATTAGTCAGAATGTAACCACTTCCTGTTCCCTTGTCTCAAAGTCAGGTTTTGGTTTGAGTCCTGAAATAAGGTCTGTGGTTGAGATTATAAAAATGTTGTTATACGACATAAAATAGGTCCGTCAATACCTCACTGGTGAACCTGAATATGTTGAGAAGAGATGTAAAATGTATTGAAATGTAATTTAAAATCCCCCAACGTGGTGAGTTAGCATTTTAGCACTTCCGGCTAACTGGTCTGGACGTTTGTTTTGCCTGAAATAAGGTCTGTGGTTAACACAAGCTGAAGACATTTTATTCTACGACATAAAATTAATCAGAAAATACCCGACTGGTGAATTTGAAAACGGAGGTTGCTAACAAGTGTCTAAATGAAACGACTAAACGTCATCACGTCCAACATTAGCCACCTTTAGCTTAGCGGTGGTGACGTGAAGTCATGTGACCGTGCTGTAGTTCCTTTATAGCCCAACATTAGCTTTTTACTTCAGGAGATTGCATTTACGCTTCATTGCCCCCCCTAGTGGCTGAAATATGTTACAGCATTACTACGTCGAAAACTGTTCCAATACAAATATTTCATATATCAATATTTTAATAAGGTAGGACACTGGTTAATAATATTGTAGCGTGTTCAAGTAACCAAGGGATATAGTAGTTATCAACTAAGTATAAGATGTGCACAGTTATGATAAGTTTTACAGTTATGTAATGCACTGTTGTTGGGGGGAGAGACCGCCCCTTGCATATGAGTGTGTGTGTACGGCGGGTATGGAAAAGTCATACTCAGTGCGGTGAGCGCTGGCTTTATTGCTACTGAATCCGTAGCACCCCACGCAATAGTTGGGACTGTGTACTGACGTCAGTAAAAAAGGTTTGCCCCCCCCAAGCGCAAATGTCAAACTCCGCCTATGCAATGAACCCAATTTTTGTCAATGCTAAGCTAACTTCTTAGTCACCCTACAAAAATACGTCATCGCCTCACCACTCTATATGGACTAGTTATAATTCAAATATTCTAAATATGTGCTATTATTCTGAATGTAGTCTTGTGGTGCTGATCAGAAGCCCTGGCATACAAAACGTATTCTACAGACTTAATTAAAAATCCTTCTTTTTATACAGATCCTCTTAAAAATATCACACCATGAACATTTTAAATATATTGTTCAATGATAATGAGAATGTTTCAATTGCAGATGTATTGCATTCTCAGTCAAAAATAATCACAGTGAGGGATTTCTTCCATTCGTGCAGCCTTAGTGTTCTGCTTCCTGTTTGTCTGTTTTCTGAGGAAATCTGCCCACACAGAAACCATCTGAATGTGTTTGGGGTCCAGACGAGACCTCAGACCTCCTGCTGAGACTGGCAGAGGAACATTAAATACCAACGAAGTTGTGGATGTAATTCCCGGAGAACATGAAACTGTGATGAATCAGCTCTGAGGGTTGGAGGGTCTTCATGTGTCTCAATACCATCTGCAACACTCTTTGTAAATAGAGTATGAAAGTTGGTGCAAATTGTTTAAAGGTCTCCTATTATACTGTTTGTCATCAATATATCACAGGTCTCAGATATATACAGAGCCTGTCTCTGATTGGCTGAAACACCAAGCAGATCATTGCAGCATCCCATAATCCCCTCTGTTTCAGCCCTGTTTCCAAAGTGCTGATTCTCGGTCTGTTACTTTAGATGAAAATAAGGAGCCCCTCCCCACGCCCCTCTGAGAGAGATTTGGTTACAAAGAACACAATGGTGCTCTAGGAGGAGATTCAGGTGATAAGGTGGGGGGGGTTTACCTTGGTTGCTGATTGGCTAATGGTTACACAAGACAACACATCATTATGACATCATAAAGTGGCCAAAATCTGATCAGCTCATTTTCAGACAGGTTTTTATAGAAATGGATCAGGACAAAAAGAGAGAGAATCTTTGTTCCTGAAACTTTTAGAGTCTCTTTCCACAGAGGGGACACATGTTGATGTAGAGGAGACATGAACAAGTGGATTTTGCATAATAGGTGACCTTTAAAACCGTTCCAGTAGGAGTGTAGGTTAAGCAGCTTTACAAACACGCAGAGCAGCATTCAGCTGGTGCCTCATTATTTTTTAGACGCCTCATTCACAAATATTGTTATTAAGGCGAGACCCTGAAGGAAAATCATAAATGGACTGCATCTGTAAAGCGCTTTTCCAGTCATTATATCCATTCATAGTACTCTTACATATAAGTCACACACACATTTATACAGAGGCAGAGGATGCTATACAAGGTGGCACCTGCTCAGGAGGCTCACACACACACACTCTCACACACACACACACACACACTCACACTCACACACATTTTGTTTTGATAATGTAATGTTCTGCACTCCAAGAATAATAGGCAAACACGATGTGTAGATCCGGCACATTTACATCGAACTTAGTGAATTTAGGTGATAGTTCAGCCATGCTAGGGATTGATGGAACATTTGAACATCTCATCAAGTGAGTGTTATTGTGTTTATGTCGAGTTTGATTGTCTGTGTTTTACAATGCTCCACTGCTTGACATGAACACATCAATGCAGCTGCCATGACACTGTTGTTTGGCTGACAATGGAACATTTTAACACGAGTGTTAGAACACACACACACACACACACACTGTTGGCCATGACATCAAAACTAGGGTTAAATATCTTGCTTTTTCCAAAACAGTTTCCTTGTTGTTGCACATTAAGAAACAAAAGCCTGTTGAAGAAGCTAAAGAGCTTAAATGCCAGAGGTGACTTCATGTCCTGCAGTCTGGACATGAAGTCACCTCTAAACACGAGTGTTAGAACACACACACACACACACACACACACACACACACACACACACACACGTAAACTGACTTCACTTCAGATTAGCATCCTTTCCCAGGCTCCCTCTCTCTCTCTCTGGCATTGGATAAACAAATCTCAGACCTCTCCATCACGAGGTAATGGAGAGGTCGTTTGGGTCATATTTCCACGGGCGCGAGACGCCGTTGTTGCTCTCTCTTGTTGTGGCAGTGTGGGTGTTTGTTTTGAGATGCTCCTACTACTAGCTCATGGTGAATGCAAAGAACTGTGTCAGACTGTAGTAGAGGATAAAGTGTGTGTTTGCAGATAGTGAGTGCAGCAGATTGCACAGAAGGCTTGGAGCACAATACATGAGTCTTTAAATCCCAACACTGTCATCAGACATCCAGACGTTTAGAGGACACATTCTGCTCATCTTCAGGTTCATATCAGTGTGTAGTGTCTCTACTTTAAAGAGTCCTCTCCTGATGATGTTCAGGTGTATATCAGTATGTAGTGTCTCTACTTTAAAGAGTTCTCTCCTGCTGATGTTCAGGTGTATATCAGTATGGAGTGTCTCTACTTTAAAGAGTCCTCTCCTGCTGATGTTCAGGTGTATATCAGTATGTAGTGTCTCTACTTTAAAGAGTCCTCTCCTGCTGATGTTCAGGTGTATGTCAGTATGTAGTGTCTCTACTTTAAAGAGTCCTCTCCTGCTGATGTTCAGGTGTATATCAGTATGTAGTGTCTCTACTTTAAAGAGTCCTCTCCTGCTGATGTTCAGGTGTATATCAGTATGTAGTGTCTCTACTTTAAAGAGTCCTCTCCTGCTGATGTTCAGGTGTATATCAGTATGTAGTGTCTCTACTTTAAAGAGTGCTCTCCTGCTGATGTTCAGGTGTATATCAGTCTGTAGTGTCTCTACTTTAAAGAGTCCTCTCCTGCTGATGTTCAGGTGTATGTCAGTATGTAGTGTCTCTACTTTAAAGAGTCCTATCCTGCTGATGTTCAGGTGTATATCAGTATGTAGTGTCTCTACTTTAAAGAGTCCTCTCCTGCTGATGTTCAGGTGTATATCAGTATGTAGTGTCTCTACTTTAAAGAGTCCTCTCCTGCTGATGTTCAGGTGTATATCAGTATGTAGTGTCTCTACTTTAAAGAGTTCTCTCCTGCTGATGTCCAGGTGTATATCAGTATGTAGTGTCTCTACTTTAAAGAGTCCTCTCCTGCTGATGTTCAGGTGTATATCAGTATGTAGTGTCTCTACTTTAAAGAGTCCTCTCCTGCTGATGTTCAGGTGTATATCAGTATGTAGTGTCTCTACTTTAAAGAGTCCTCTCCTGCTGATGTTCAGGTGTATATCAGTATGTAGTGTCTCTACTTTAAAGAGTCCTCTCCTGCTGATGTTCAGGTGTATATCAGTATGTAGTGTCTCTACTTTAAAGAGTCCTCTCCTGCTGATGTTCAGGTGTATATCAGTATGTAGTGTCTCTACTTTAAAGAGTCCTCTCCTGCTGATGTTCAGGTGTATATCAGTATGTAGTGTCTCTACTTTAAAGAGTCCTCTCCTGCTGATGTTCAGGTGTATATCAGTATGTAGTGTCTCTACATGTCTTCATGCTTTAATGTTCAAAAAGCTCTTTATTTTTCTCATACTGCCTGTGCTGCAGCACCTCTTTTCACCCTCTGTCTGAAACCAGAGCCCAGTCTGCTCTGATTGGTTACCTGACCGGCTCTGTTGTGATTGGTCAACCGCTTAGAGATGTCCCGCCCCTTAGCCTTTCACGTACAATGTGTTGGAGCGCTAGCCAACAGGAGCGCAAGTGTTGATGTCACTATGGTCAGGATGTAAACAAAGGCGTCCAATGGAGGTGCTTTCAGACCGTTTCCTTGCACACAAACCTATATAACACACTACAGGAGAGCTTAAATACAGAATATATCCTTTTCAACAGTCTGCCACTTCAGCCTAAACCTTTCTATCTGCTGACAGTATTCACATCTGTAGTGAAAACCCACTTCACCTTGGCCATTAATCCTAACAAAGAAATATCTAGCACTTGAAATGGTTCGGCTAACTTAAAGCTGATATACCTTCAAGTTTCTTCATCTTCTCAGTTTGTGTCTTCATGGTTTATCGGAGTCTCTTTGGATAAAAGCGTCAGCCTAAATGAAATGTAATGTTCCCTATACCACTCAGGTTATCTTTGTTTGCCTCTCTTCAATGGCTGTCTTGAGTACAAGGGATTGAAACGTGATGAGAGAAGAGTTGACCTCTTAGTAAAGGCCAAATCAAAACTTTTTTCCACCCTCATTGAGAAAGTACAGCCATTCATATGTAAAACTTTCCAATGAAGCATTTATGTCCAAGGTTGTTAGAGAACAATCGCTCCTAAAAACCATCTCAGTGCTGAGGTAAAGGTGCAGATTTGATATGCGTCTGTTCTGCATGGAAAAGAATGAAAGGAAGCACTTTATTTGACCTTACAGTAAAGAACGTATCGGCCCCTTTTAGTGAGAATTTAATAGCATCTCAGTTTAAAACTTTCCACGCAGCTCCATCTCTGAAGTTCTTTTTTACATCTGAGTTGCCAATACATCAGATTATAGTGGTCATTTATGAGTCCAAAAAAAGAGTTTGGCTTATAAATACTATGCTGGCTCAATTCCCATTTTAAATTTGAGTCGCCAAGAGGCTTAGCTTGGCTTCATGCTGCGACGCGTTTTCAATGAGAAAGTCCAAACTGAAGTTTAAAAACGGTTGATGATATTTAATAAACAAAATCATACCACACCCATGTGACAGTTGCTGGAAGTGATCAACAAATACAGATAAAAGTGATGTAAACAACTCATAATAATAATACAAATGATAAACTCAGGCTAAAGGGCATTCTGGCTCCTACAAATAGCTTGGATGTAAACCAGGGGTGTCAAACTCAATTTCATCACGGGCCACATCAGCATTATGGTTGCACTCAAAGGGCCGGTTGTGACTTTAAGACTATATAAAAATACATATATAAATATTTAATATATATAAAATAATGTATTATATTACAATATTTCCTCTGCATTGGATTATTATCGGATAGGGTATAACTTCATAATTAACTACGACTGAAAGAAGAAGTCTAGGGAAAATAATTGCAAGTCTCTTCAGTGAGAATGTCACAATATGACTTTAAAAGAAAAGCCACATTCTGGAAAAACAAAAAAAAATAAGTGACATTTTGAAAAAGAGAAGTGAAAAAAAAGTAATTTTGGAGAAAAAGGCTTAATTCTAAGAAAAAAGGCATATTTTGACAAAAAAAAGTCAAATTCTGAGAAAAAGTCAAATTTGAGATGCATTGTGGGACATGTAGTTTATGAGCAACGCTTCTGTAAAGTATCATGTAACCTTATAATAAACATATTATATTCTTTGCAAGCTCTTGTGGGGCCACATAAAATGAAGTCGCGGCTCGGATTTGGCCCCCGGGCCTTGAGTTTGACACCCCTGATGTAAACGCTTCCTCTAGGATAGGTGCAGGTCACATTGAAAACAATCACTTAAAGGTCCAGACTACTCGTTTTCATATTTGGCCGCCATGGATTCTCTCTCAAGGTGTGTCATAAAAAAGCTTCAACAACAAGACGTTAAAAAAAGCCACACATTTTGGCATTTTTGTTTGATGAAGCTGCTTCTTGTTAGGGATATGTATCCAACGTTTCACCGTGATGCAATCTTTCTCGATTCTTTGGTCAACGATACGATATTCGCTGAGACCACAAAGTCTGCCACAATATTATTGTGATTCAATCAGGGTCCTCAGGGACATAATAAGCCAATGTAATATAATTAATTTAATATATTTCCACTTCCAAAAAGCAACTAAAATATGATTTTATTTGATGACAGAGCTCTGTACAAAAGAGGCGCGTTTAGATGGACATGGTGACACAGAGGTGCAAAGGGAACATTTCTAAAATAAGATAAGATGGACCCGAAGCAGCAACAAGAGCGAAAGTACAGTACAGATTCGCATAAGATTAATACAATTAAATATACAATTAAAATGATATACAGGTAAGAAGCTGTTAAAACAAGAAATGAATTAAATAAACATATATACATATTTGAGTCCGAAATAAATCAATATCTTAAAGATGATATATATATCGATATTCTGAAACACTGGAGAGCAGAGGAGGGTGGACCCAAGTGAAGGACACAAATTAACTTTGAAAAAAACCATCCTTTATTGAAGGTTATCCAGGAAAAAACCGAGCAAGGCAAACACAACAGAACTCTCTCATGAACAATCAACAAGGACCCGACAAGCACCAACAAAAACAAACACACCTTAAACACATGCAGAACTAATGACAAGGACAAGACACAGGTGGGCGAGTCAGGGAAAACATAAGGAGGTGAACAGAAGCAGGTAATCAAGCAGGCGGGAACACACAGAGACAGGAAGTCAAACAACACAACACACTTTTCAAAATAAAACAGGAAACACTGACGGATCAGGACATATGGTGGCTTTGCGTCCATGATCATCAAATGCACTGATAATCCAGATAAATGTGTCCTCTGCTTCTCATCACCCTGAGAACAGAGCGATCCTATGTCGTCTAGTGTGAACATCTGTATCACTGGTGCATGGTTTTGTGAATGCACTCGATGGCACATTTCATATTTCATTCATCGTGCCGTTCTTCTTCATGCATACGTTATACATTGTTAAAATATGGGTATAATCGTATATGAAAACAGAGGGCGTTGGGAGTGAAAGATGGAGGTGAGGGAGAGAGCAGACAATGGCGACATTAGGTTATATAAGAGGGTGTGTGTGTGTGTGTGTGTGTGTGTGTGTGTGTGTGTGTGTGTGTGTGTGTGTGTGTGTGTGTGTGTGTGTGTGTGTGTGTGTGTGTGTGTGTGTGTGTGTGTGTGTGTGTGTGTGTGTGTGTGTGTGTGTGTGTGTGTGTGTGTGTGTGTGTGTGTGTGTGTGTGTGTGTGTGTGTGGGAGTGTGGGAGAGAGATAGCCCTGGTTAATAGCTAAGATAGGACTTCATGGTTATTAACTTTCCGAATTAATCCCCGCTAGGAGTTGGTATTTCCATTATTCGCAGGAAATGTTTTGTTTTTTTTGTTGCTGGATTGGAAGCAGCGTCTCCTCTGCATGTTGTATTATTTATGATAACGGTATTCATGGCTCTGCAGACCCGAGGCTAATCTTCTGTGACGTCTGTGTCTGTGTGTGTGTTGTGTGTGTGTGTAGTATCTGGCGCTGGCTTTGTCACCAGGACGTGTGTTTGTGGATTAGCGCAGCGTGATTTCATAGCAGGAGAACGTAAACACTAAAGCTGTCAGTTATGATCGGGTTTCATCTGTCGCATTAACTCCAGCGTATTTCCCTTCTATTCAATATCTCATGTACGGCTGTCAGTGCTGTCCACCTCCAGAATAATGGAGGGTATTCAGTATTCTTCGTGATGTGTTATTAAACAGCCCCGAGTATTGATTCTGTATTTGGTTTATTGCATCAGTGTTTCCTTTTTATGAAGTCCAAAACCTCGAGATCATATTAAAACTGAAAAGATACTCGTCTGAGGACAATGGTGCATTCACTTGCTCCTCAGATGGTGCGTTCAAGAGCTTTTAGCCAAAATGTGGAAACAACATGGACTCTACGCAAACCATGTTGTATTTTATTGCCAAGAGCATTTAAATGACAGCTTGATGGCTGTTTCAGAACTGCAAAAAGGATATGATATGTTGTTTATTTGACTATAAAATTGACATTTAACTACATCAAATGTCATTCTGTTTCTCAAGCTTAAAGCTCAGAGATATTGAATATTGGAAAATATGTGTATTCACACTCTATACGATATGATACAAGAATACTTTATTGATGGATCAAGTGTGAAATGTTTCCTGCATCACAGCAGCTCCATTTCCAACATCAACAAGGACAGATATTATGACAAGACATTACTGAAGACAATGTGTGTTGCCATGCCAGGTCAACGTATATTTGACCTGACATTTATCTCTGTATTTCATATTTAACGTAGTTGTGTTGGCTTAAAATCAAAATGTCTGCAGTGAAGAACAGAATGAGTTTCCATGTGATGCGGCTTGGGGAAATATCTAACCAAAATGTTTCTCTGGCTCAATGCTAAAATCAAACTTCACTGTTTTTAAATCACGCAAAGAAAAACCTCATCAGATATTTTCATTAAAAATCCATTCAGCCACACATCTGCAAAAGCCTTTATCAGAATCTGTACTGGTGCTCATATTTCACACATGTATAAGCACTTTGAGCACCAGGAAACACGTTATATAAATTACATGTATTATTATATCAAATCTCTGTCTCCCTGTGTTTCCCTCAGAGGTGGAGGCGGAGCCTGTGAGGCAGGCGGGCGAGCGTCCGTCGAAGCGTCGATGTTTCTGGGAATATCGCCGCGCTCGAGAGTCGGCCGCCAAGAAGAAGCTAGGCGGAGACGTGCACTGGTCTCTGTCCTGGAGCTCCAGCACGCTGCCCAGCACCCTGTACCGCAGAGAGGGTGAGCACCATGACTGGACATCACTTAATAATAATAATAATAATACGTTTGTTTAGTATAGCACCTTTCACAGACATAGAGTTCACAAAGTGCTTCACAAGAAAGAACAAAAGTTAAAATTAAGACCACAGAAACATGAATACAATAACCACATGAGGCAGACATTAAAGGTGGGGTAGGTAAGTTTGAGAAACCGGCTCGAGATACACTTTTTGTTATATTCCATGGAATGCTCTTAACATCCCGATAGCAATGAATATCTGAAGTGCTTTGACAAAAAATCCATAAAAAAAGATCATCTGTGGAAGCCGTGGTACTGTAAAAAGCACGACCAATCATCTGAGCCGGCCCGGCTAAAATAACTGGATGGCCTACCTGCCTGTCAGCCTTCCATCTGTGCACAAACTTATCTCGTGCCCTCATTGGTCATGTGCGCGTTCATGTGTGTTGGAGGAGGGGCTCTATAAGGAAGTGGCAGATTTTCTCCGATTGTGTATTTTCAAATTCTAGCGATCTCGAGCCGGTTTCTCAAACTTACCTACCCCACCTTTAAGGTTAACATAAAAACAAAGCACAGACCACGTGGAGTCCTGAAAGGAACAAACAGAACACATCAGACACATCTCAAGTAGAGACAAAAGCCAATGTAAAAAGATGGGTCTTCAGTAGTTACTGACTTAGAAAACACATAACCTCCAATTTGTGCCGTATCTGTTCAAGGTTCAATGTTAGTTTATTTGTATAGCACATTTTAAGACACAGAGGCAATTCAAAGTGCTTCACATAGGCATTTAACACATAATAGTTGTTTAAAACAAACACACAAACAAGACAATTAATGAAAATGATAAAATAATGGTTGCAGCTAAAAGTGCAATGATAAGGCCATGTTAAAGGCTAATGTCATAATACAATCTGAATTCAGTTTTAAGTTGTGTCCATTGCAAAAAACCTCATCATGATCATTTTAAAGAGGCCCTTTTCAGCTTTTTGGGGTTTTCCCTTTCCTGTAGTGTGTTCTATAGGTTTTAGTGCATGCAAATGGTCTGCAAAGACTAAAATCCCTGTGTTCCCTCCAATGTAAGTTTCTCTTCCACCTATCAGAGTAGAGGCACTAAATACTAATATGAACCTGAAAATGAAATATGTCCTTTTTAATCAAAGAAAGTGAAAACGAGCATGCAAAAATGATTTATTCCCCCCATTGTCGTAAATTATTGTTGTCAAATAATTCAGCCCTAGCAATGATTGACTCTCCATCATGGTGCTGTGAAACAAAATACAAACATAACACATACCAAATAATATATAGTGAAGGAAGAGGCAGGAAATCCACTTGTCTATTTTAAACCTCCATCTAAATAATTGAACACAGGGATAATATTCCAAGAATAACATACATTTCACAGTGATGGCAAACTAACAAAACTAAATATAATTTAATCAACAATTCAATGTTAATTCTGCCTCCTGATGGCCTGATTAATCCTACAGATTATTTATAGATTCATTTTTATTTGGAGGCTTATCCACATGGATGTTCAGAGTGAGAACTGTTTGTCAGCCGGAGTTAAAGCGACGCTCTCACTGCAGCTCAAAGTGTCCCATTTCTCTCCTCTCATGTGACATGAATCGGATCGGGACCCTCAGGCATTTGCCCTACATACAACTTTTATGTCAAAATGTGAATTTTTCAACACTCCCCTGATATGTGAGTCTTACATCAGACAGTGTGGCAGCCCTTTGTTCTTCACAGGACCCAGACATCAGTAATGCACCGTACAGGAAAATCACTACTGCATGGGAAATACAAATGTAACGTTGTACCATAGATTCTGAAACTGCTTCTTATAACATGTCATTGAGATATGTTTTATCTGATTTGATTTTGTATTATTGTGTCATGCATTGAAAAAGAGATCAGTAAACCATCTTGACCTATTTTCAAATCCTTAGAAACACAGTTGTGGACATATTCTGCTCATCTTCAGGTTCATATCAGTATGTAGTGTCTCTACTTTAAAGAGTCCTCTCCTGCTGATGTTCAGGTGTATATCAGTATGTAGTGTCTCTACTTTAAAGAGTCCTCTCCTGCTGATGTTCAGGTGTATATCAGTATGTAGTGTCTCTACTTTAAAGAGTCCTCTCCTGCTGATGTCCAGGTGTATATCAGTATGTAGTGTCTCTACTTTAAAGAGTCCTCTCCTGCTGATGTTCAGGTGTATATCAGTATGTAGTGTCTCTACTTTAAAGAGTCCTCTCCTGCTGATGTTCAGGTGTATATCAGTATGTAGTGTCTCTACTTTAAAGAGTCCTCTCCTGCTGATGTTCAGGTGTATATCAGTATGTAGTGTCTCTACTTTAAAGAGTCCTCTCCTGCTGATGTTCAGGTGTATATCAGTATGTAGTGTCTCTACTTTAAAGAGTCCTCTCCTGCTGATGTTCAGGTGTATATCAGTATGTAGTGTCTCTACTTTAAAGAGTCCTCTCCTGCTGATGTTCAGGTGTATATCAGTATGTAGTGTCTCTACTTTAAAGAGTCCTCTCCTGCTGATGTTCAGGTGTATATCAGTATGTAGTGTCTCTACTTTAAAGAGTCCTCTCCTGCTGATGTTCAGGTGTATATCAGTATGTAGTGTCTCTACTTTAAAGAGTCCTCTCCTGCTGATGTTCAGGTGTATATCAGTATGTAGTGTCTCTACTTTAAAGAGTCCTCTCCTGCTGATGTTCAGGTGTATATCAGTATGTAGTGTCTCTACTTTAAAGAGTTCTCTCCTGCTGATGTTCAGGCGTACAATGTGTTGGAGCGATAGCCAATAGAATCGTGAGTGTTTCATAGTGATGTCATTGTGTTACTGAAGTAAACAAAGGAGTCCAATGGAGGCGTTTCAGACAGTGGGGGAGGGGGTAGAGAACACAGGGATTTTAGCCTTTGCAGACCATTTGCATGCACTAAAACCTATAGAACACACTACAGGAAAGGGAAAACCCCAAAAAGCACAATAGGGCCTCTTTAACTTGGACAAAGTTTAGCCTATCAGGATACAAATTGCCCGTCACACTGATTAGTTTATTTTTGTTCTTATTGCTTTGTTTTACCTTTTTTAGTGGAAGAAATTCAAATCTGATGTTCAATATATGACATATTAATCATAGGGTATCCCAGCCCTCACTCATGCAGTAAAAATACATTCTGAGAATATGTTGTCCTTTATTATAATATGCTTCTTAATGCTCTTAATGTCTTTCATTTTTGTAAAAAAGCACTTTGAATTGCCTTGTGTTGAAAGGTGCTATATAAATAAACTTGCCTTGCCTTGCTTTTATCCCGGTAAGAAGGGGCGCTATATATACCCTTTAATGGAAGAAATGAAAATCTGATGTTCAATATATGACATATTAATCAAATTAATCACACCCCTTTCTAATACAGTAAATAAAAACTATTCTGTCGTGTTTTATCCAGGTAAAAAAGGGCGTCGTAAAGCTCGTAAGACGGACGCCAGCGACCTGACTCCGAACCCCCAGAAGCTGCACAACATCGGGGAGCAGCTGCAGAAACTGAACGCTGCCATCGAGGGCATGGAGCCCGTCAACGAGCTGCCGGCTGGCGCGAGGGCGCGGAGCCGCAAGGAGAAGAACAAGCTGGCCTCCAGGTACCACACTCACTACCCACTGACATCGACTACTTGTTGCTATCCTATTGTGGCATGAGCCGTTTTCTACAGGCACATTTTACCGGCGTATTTTTCATTATGATTCTACTTGTGATAGTCGGACATGACAACCTGTGGAGCCCATGTATTGATTCCATCCGATAGCTGCTATAATACAACACAAAACGTCTGCCTGCTCTCCACAATGATCAATAACAGCGAACGGATGGTCAAAGTAAGAGAGGTTTTCCTACATTTTAAAGTTGGAATGAAGTCTCTAGCTGAAAGTATGTGGAAGGAGTAGCATGTGGCGCACGGTGTAGTTAAAAGACGATTTGAAGGTTCCTCCCATTGAGTTCCATGTTAAAAAAAGAGTTTAAAAAGCTGAATGTTTTGAAAAGTATAAAATATTTTGAAGAAGTTGAAGGTTTCCCATCATGTGCTGAAATAGGCTGAATAGTTTGATATTTGAATGGTTTCTGTAGCTGAAAGTATGCTGAAGTTATTGAGAGCCAAAGTATTGGTTGAAATAATAAGAAGAAGAAGAAGATTTGAAGAAAGAGTAGAATCCTGCAGGCGAGGTTGGTTTGGTGTCGGCTGACTTTTAGCCTTACTTATTGATTTTCAAAAATGTGGAGCATTAGAATAGTTGACCTTCTAATGCTGTGACCTCTGGATTTATTTATCAGACACGAGGGGGCTGGTGTTCAGTGTCTGTAAATGGTATAATAATAAGAAGAAACAGATTTATTACCAGGTAGACTAGGTTGACACGTACAAGGAATTGTACTCGATGTCATGGTGCATACAGTACATAAAAGTAACAGAAAACATAGATGGAGAACTATTTTAAGAAAAGAATATAGTAAAATAAAATATTTTATAATAATACATTTAATTTTTATAGCGCTTTTCCTATAGTGCTCAAAGACACTTTGCATAAAATCTGAAACAGAAACAGTACAAAGAAAACAAAAAAACATAAACAGTAGTCATAATCCAAAAGTGTGAGTAAAGTGTGGGTTGTGGATCAGAGTTTGAAAGCTAGAGTTTGAAAGAAATAGAGAGTATAATCCTGCAGGCGAGGTTGGTTTGGAGTCGGCTGACTTTTAGCTTTACATATTGGTTTTCAAAAATGTGGAGCATTAGAGAAGTTGACCTTCTAATGCTGTGGCTGGAGGACATGGAGAGAGAGGAATGCATATTTGTTGTGGGATTTAAGACATGGTTGTTCTGACTTGATGGAAAATCTAAGATAGATAGATAGATAGATAGATAGATAGATGGATGGATGGATGGATGGATAGATAGATAGATAGATGGATAGATAGATGGATAGATAGATGGATGGATAGATAGATAGATAGATGGATAGATGGATGGATAGATAGATAGATGGATAGATAGATGGATAGATAGATGGATGGATAGATAGATAGATAGATGGATAGATGGATGGATGGATAGATAGATGGATGGATGGATGGATGGATAGATAGATAGATAGATGGATAGATGGATGGATAGATAGATGGATGGATAGATAGATAGATAGATGGATGGATAGATAGATGGATCGATGGATAGATAGATGGATAGATAGATGGATAGATATGATGGATAGATAGATGGATAGATGGATGGATAGATAGATGGTGGATGGATGGATAGATAGATAGATAGATAGATGGATAGATGCGATGGATAGATAGATGAGATGGATAGATAGATAATGATAGATGGATGGATAGATAGATGGATGGATAGATAGATGGATAGATGGTAGATAGATGGATAGGGATAGATAGATGGATAGATAGATGGATGGATAGATAGATAGATGGATGATAGATGATGGATGGATAGATAGATGGATAGATAGATAGATGGATAGATAGATAGATGGATAGATAGATGGATAGATGGATGGATAGATAGATAGATGGATGGATAGATGGATAGATAGATAGATAGATGGATGGATGGATGGATAGATGGATAGATAGATAGATAGATACATGGATGGATAGATGGATGATGGATAGATAGATAGATAGATGGATGGATGGATGGATGGATGGATAGATGGATAGATAGATAGATAGATACATGGATGGATAGATGGATGGATGGATAGATAGATAGATAGATGGATGGATGGATGGATGGATAGATAGATGGATAGATAGATAGATACATGGATGGATAGATGGATGGATGGATAGATAGATGGATGGATGGATAGATAGATAGATAGATAGATAGATGGATGGATGGATGGATAGATGGATAGATAGATAGATAGATACATGGATGGATAGATGGATGGATGGATAGATAGATAGATAGATGGATGGATGGATGGATGGATGGATAGATAGATAGATGGATAGGTGGATGGATAGATAGGGAGGCTGTGGCTCAGTGGTTAGTGCGCTGGACTTCGAATCAGGGGATAGCAAGTTCGAGTCCCACTGCAGTCAGCATGTCGTTGTGTCCCTGAGCAACACACTTCACCCCAAATTGCTCCTGTGAGGATTGTCCACAGTACCGAATGTATGCAAGTCGCTTTGGATAAAAGCGTCTAACAAATGACATGTAATGTAATGTAATAGATAGATAGATGGATATGAAATAGAAAAATAGCATTAAAAAGAAAAAAAATATATATACATGTGGAAAATACAAACTCTGAGACCTCTGTATTGATTCATCAGACACGAGTGGGCTGGTTTTCAGTGTTTGTAAACGATATGCAGAAAATAAGTAGAGAGTAGAACCCTGCAGGCGAGGTTGGTTTTGTGTCGGCTGACTTTTAGCTTTACATATTGGTGTCGTGGATCCGATGTAACACTCACAACATTAAAGAATAAGACAAAGAGGAATCAATAAAACACAGACACAGAGATGGTTGAAGTTAAATATTATATTGCTGTACAGAACTATAAGGGCCCGTCCACACGGCGGCGTGCGTTGAAGCTTGGCGGTGGGCGTGTGTGAAGCTTGGGGATTTCTCGCGAGCAACGCGACCAACAACCAATCACATGAATTTCCCGCCCCCGACATACGAAGCAAAAAAGCCCGAAGTAAACTGGATATAAACTCCCCAAACAGGCGAAAACCTACCACTGTCTCTGCCACCTCCCTCCATGCCTGGCTCCTCCGGTTTGTATCCCGGTAGGTAAAGAGGGACTGGTCGTAAAGCACCGGGTGATTCCCTACTGCTATTATTATTTTATCCTCCATTTTTTGGAACATGAGGAAATGACCTGCGGTATGGCTCTCCCAGCTTACACGCGGTTTGATTGGCTAGCGCTTGTACTGTCAGATTTGCATAAGCGGGATTTGATTGGCTGACGCCTCCGTCGAAGCTTCAAAAGTTGAACATTGCTCAACTTTTGCAGCGAGCACCGCGAGCAACGCGTAGCGACGCTCTCACAATGCAGTTCGGCGAAGCGTGACGTCACCCCATTCAAAGTGAATGGACAGAAGCGTTGAAGAGTCAACGCACGCCGCTGTGTGGACGGGCCGTAAGAGACACATTACCTTGCACCAAAGCAGTCAATAGTGTAATGCCTGTAGACTAATGAAATCTCAGAGGTTATATACACTTCAAACAGCTTACATGGCTGAACCTTTCCTGACCTGAAGCAGTGTTTTGATGCATCTTCTGTCCCCCCAGACTTTAACCTGTTAAGCCCTGAGCCTGTTTTTCAGGTCTCAGGCTCGAAAATGACATTCCCAGAACAAATATCTTCCCTTCTAAAAGGGTTAAATTAATAATCTTTTTTCTCAAAGTAATGATAAACCTGTGAGTTGGATGTAGAAAAGTCAGAATCAATATAGAAGTTTTTTATTTTAAAGAAAATTCAGATTTTACATAGTAAAAAACTGTAAATTATAGTGTCCGTCCAAAAATACTTATAGTGAAAACTACCCTTGGATGATGGGTTAGTAGACTAAAAGCTTTACGAATCCAAAGTACAACATATAATAAGTACCCTGTATCAAGATTGATGCAAAACAAGTGACATTTGACCTTTTTAGAGAGATTTAGCAAAAAGAAACCACTTCTGGGGTCATTTGGGTGGATTTTCCATATCTCTGGCCCCCCTTGCTCGATTTTGATGGTTGACACCTCTTTCTGACCGTTAGAGCCAATAGAATCGAAGGGGGAGTCCCCCACACACACTCATTGTGAGAGAAAAGGTGGGGGCTTCGCGCATGTAATTTTTCATCAGAGTGAACCTATCTCTAGCTTTGACATCTGGAAACGGAAAAGCAGTTTTATTGCTCATGGATTATCAGAAATCATTTCAAAGGGACACAGACACATTGGATTAACCTATGGATTAACTTCAGCAGCGTTTTTATCATTTTAATGCCATTGAAGACCACTTTGGAGAGACTACAGAGCCGAGGTAATAATGTTAGCATTTTTAGCTACCTAGCGTCACCTGTTTTGATGTCCGTTTTTGCTTATAACGTCGCCATTTCGTATAATTCAGTGATAATGAGGGTACCCTTTGATTCTGTGTCACCTCACGATGTGAAACGATGTCATGGATGTAGAGAAGAGATAAATAATAAGGTTTTGTGAGTGATTTTTGTGCAGTGAGTAAGGTGTTAGCATTTTTCGCTCGTTGCTAATTCAGAGGCTCAGCGTTAGCATTGTGGGTTTTATTTTTAAAAACAAATAAAAATGATCAGTTAGATGAGTTTCTTCCCGTTACATGGATATAAAACATTCATAGTTTATTAAATGAACATGCCCTCAGACACTGTTTCCTGCAAGATGTTGCGGCAGTGCCCCGGTACCGGGGTCTCTCGGGCTTAACAGGTTAAAGGTCCCCTATTATACTGTTTTTCATCAATATATTACAGGTCTCAGATATATACAGAACCTGTCTCTGATTGGCTGAAACACCAAACAGATCATTGCAGCATCCCATAATCCCCTCTGTTTCAGCCCTGTTTCCAAAGTGCTGATTCTCTGTCTG